GGGGGGGGGGGGAGGACTGGCTGGGATGAGCCTTAGGTTGCAGCGCAGCTCTGAGAAAGTCTCAGCCTGGGCACATTTCCCACTGGGTGTCTCAGGTTGGGCAGAAACCCTCTGATGGTAGTGGTCCCACCATGCTTAGTCATTGGCGTTGAGCTGCTGAGAGTGTGTTTGCTCCCAGGTGAAGGCAGTGGCAAGCGCAAAAGCAAGCAGCTGAAGGCTCTGGACCACTTAAACTCTTGGGAGCGGGTTATCTTGAAGGGAGATTTGAGTGGTGCACCTCTGGACCCCACAGAGCTGACCCTAACTACCCCAGGTAATACTACCCACTGCCACTCATCCCTCCCAATCACGGGTGGAACTGTGTGATAGATTAAATTTTAGTTATTTGAAATTTTGATAATTTTGATAAGGCGTCTTGGGAGAAAAAGTCACAGCCAGTTAATACAGAACAGCAAATCAGAGCAGTATCAAAAGGAAAAAAATAAGGTGGAAAGACCTTTGGAATTAGAATCGGAAGGTATGTCTTCCAACTAACGCTGAAACTAGTCATTTTCATTTTCTGAACCTCAGTGCATTAATCTAGAAAGTGACTGGGTTGAAACTCAGTCCTTACTGAATATTGAATAGAATGTCCATATCTCTAAAATCTCTACCAGCTTTAAACATTTAGGAATTCAGAACTGCCCCCTGAAACCACAAGTTATCCTGGTGTCCCTGAGCAAGGATGAGAATGAGTTTACAAATTCCAATGTAGTGGTTTTATAGGGACAACAAGCCAAGCAGTTACCACATGGTGTTCCTATTTCCAGGTGACTACCCTCCTGCATTGTGACATAGCTGAGATGTGGCAACTTTATTGCTCTTACAAGCTGTACTGCTTCAGCACAGGCCAGAGCTTCCTAAGTGCCATCAATCGTTTTCATCATATTGAGAATATAAGAAACACATTTCAAACAAAATTTTCATTGTGGATTTTTGAATCTGACCAGTGTTGAAGCTGGATGTCGGCGGGCATCACACCTTAGAATCTTACAGAAGGAGAGTGGGATAGGGACCCTTAGACTTCACCACACTGGGACAGCCTGCAATGCCTGCAAAACTCATGTAGCATTTCAGCAGTAGCATCATCCCCATGTACGTGTTTACAGAGGCGTTTCATCAGTAAGGGGGCTTGTCAAGTAGCTTGTATTTTCTTGTAACCCAGAAGAAAATATATTTTGAAAATAAAATACTGCTCTGGTTTTACTTTTGTAAGTTTGATCAGAGTTGTAGCTATACCAAACTTAGGGGTTGGCTGAAGGCCCTTCGTTTTAGTGGTGGGCAGTGGAGTGAGGGGGAGAGGGAGGGAAAGCAGGCCAGATGGTCCTGAAAAGCTGCGGAGAGGGGCAGTCCCGGTCTCACGCAGGGGACCTTTCTTTCTCAGCCGTCTCAGTAAGTGGCACAGCGAGCTAAGCACCAGGTGTGATCCGTTTTGGGGTGGATCAGCCTTCCTACCTCCCAGGCGGGGAACGTGTAGACATCCCCTGAAGGAATACGGATGGGTCTGGCAGCCCAGCTGGAGTGAGGACTGCTCCTCCCGCACTTTTCAGCGGGGACCTCGTTTCCTCCCCTTTCACGCGTCCAGGCTGCCGCCTCTGCAGAGCCCGGCGGGCGGCCTCGGGTCCAGTGCCGGTGCCGGGCTCGCGGGAGCGGCGACCTGGAGGCCGGG